TTTTAAAATTTATTTCTTTAAATTTAATTTTATATTCCAACCACAGGTCTCTTTCCCACCCCTTCTCCTACCCACACTTTACTTCCCCCACTCAACCCATCCCCAGTCCACTCCTCCTCAAGCATAAAGACTCCTGTGAGGAGTCAACAAAGTCTAACACTATAGTTTGGGACAGAGCCAAGGTCCTCTTCCATGTGTTAAGGTTGAGTAAGGCATTCCACCATAGTGAATGGGCATCAACAAGCTAGCTCATGTACCAGGTTTGTATTGTGGTTCTACTGCCAGGGGCCCTTCAGCTAGTCCAAGCTTCACAACTGTCTCCCACATAGTTTGGTCTCCTGGAGCCTCTACAGTTTTCAGTTTAGAGTTCATGACTTTCCACAGGCTTGGTTCGGCTGTCTCTGTAGATCTTTCCATTGTGATCGTTTCCTCACTTGTTCATATTTTCATTCCATCCTACCTCTCTTCGACTCTGTCCCCAGAGCTCAGCATGGTACTTGGTTGTGGATCTCCACATCTGGTTCCATCAATACTGGATGAAGGCTGTATGAAGATAGTTGGGGTATTCCCCAATCTGATTACAGGGGTAGGCCAGTTGCAGCATCCTGTCCACTACTGTGAGGAGTTTTAACCGGGGTCATCTTGGGAGTTACCCTAGCACCAGGTTTCTCCCTAGCTCCATAGTGCTCTCTCTATTAAGACATCTCCTTCATTGCTCTTCCACCGCATCCCTCCTGCCCTCGACCATCCCATTTCCTTGTTCTCATCCTCACTTCCCTCTCCTTTACCACTTCCCTGTCCTCAGTTTACCCAGAAGAGCTCATCTAATTTCTCTTCCCAGGGTGATCCTTGAGTCCCTCTTAGGGTCCTCCTTGATACCTAGCTTCTCTGGAGCTATGCATTGTAGTTGGGTTGTCCTTAGCTTTACATCTAGTATCCAATTATGAGTGAGTACATACCATATCTGTCTTTCTGAGTCTGGGTTCCCTCACTCAGGATGTTTTTTTTCTAGTTCCATCCATTTGCCTGAGAATTTCATGAAGTCATCACGTTTTACAGCCAGGTAGTACTCCATTGTGTAAAGGTACCACACTTTCCTTATCCATTCTTCAGTTGGGAGCATCTAGGTTGTTTCCAGTTTCTGGCTATTATGAATGATGCTGCTATTAAAATTGTTGAGCAAATGTCTTTGTGGTATGCTTGAGCATCCTTTGGGTATATACCCAAGAGTTGCATCTCTGGGTCTTCATGTAGTCTGATTCTCAGTTTTCTGAGAAACATACATACTGATTTTCAATACAGCTGTACAAGTTTGCACTCCTACCAGCAGTGGAGGAGTGTTCCCCTGAGTCCACATCCTCTCCAACATGAGCTACCCTCAGTATTTTTTTATCTTAGCAATTCTGGCAGGTGTAAGATGGTATTGATTATGGATGTTGAACACTTACATAAATGTCTTTAGATCATTTGAAATTCTTCTGATGAGAATTCTGTGTTTAGCTCTGTACCCTATTTTTCAATTGGTTATTTTGTATTTCGATGTCCAGTTTTTGGGTTCTTCACACATATTGAATAACAGCCCTCTTTCAGATGTAGGGTTGGTAAAGATCTTTTCCCATTCTGTAGGCTGCCATTTTGTCATATTGACAGTGTCCTTTGCCATACAGAAGCTTTTCAGTTTCAGGAGGTTCTGTTTATTGATTATTGCTTTCAGTGTCTGTGCTACTGTTGTTAAATTTAGGAAGTGGTCTCCTTTGCCAACATGTTCAAGGCTGCTCCCCACTTTCTCTTCTATCAGGTTCAGTGCAGCTGGATTTATGTTGAGGTCCTTGATCCATTTCAATTTGAATTTTGTGCATGGCTATAGAGATCTACTTGCAATCTTCTACATTTTGACATCCAGTTGTTCCAGCACCATTTGTTAAAGATGTTTTCCTTTTTCCTTTGTAACATTTTGACTTCTTTCTCAAAAAAATCAGGTATTCATGGGTGTGTGGATTAATGTCAGGGACTTTGATTTGCTTTCATTTATCTACCTATGGTTTTTATGCCAAAACCAAGTAGTTTCTATTATTATAGCTCAATAGTAGAGTTTGAAGTCAGGGATGGTGACACCTCTGGAAGTACCTTAATTAATTGTACAGGATTGTTTCAGCTTTTCTGATTTTTTTGTTTTTCCATATTAAGTTGAGTATTGTTCTTTCAAGGTCTGTGAAATTGTGTTGGGATTCTGATGGGGACTGCATTAAATTAGTAGATTGCTTTTGGTAGGATTTCTGTTTTTATTATGTTGATCCTACTTCTCCAGGAGAATGGGAGATCTTTCCATTTCTGATATCTCCTTCAATTTCTTTCTTTAGGGATTTAAAGTTCTTGTCATACAGGATTTTCACTTGTTTGATTAGTTACCCCAAGCTATTTTATATTTGTTGCTATTGTTATGGAATTACATGATTTTTTTCAGCACATTTATCATTTATACATAGGAGGGCTACTGATTTTTTTGAGTTAATCCTGTATCTTGCCACATTACTGAAGGTATTTATCAGCTATAGGAGTTCCTGGGTAGAGTTTTGGGGGTTACTTATGTGTACTATCATATCATTTGTGAATAGTTACAGTTTGACTTCTTTTCCAATTTGTATCCATTTGATCTCCTTTTTTGTCTTATTGCTCTAGTGAGAACTTCAAGTACTATATTGAATAGATATGGAGAGAGTGGACAGCATTGTATTGTTCCTTACTTTAGTGGAATCACTTTGAGTTTCTCTCCATTTAATTTGACATTGGCTGTTGGCTTGATGTATATTTCATATTATGTTTATTATGTTCCTTGTATCCCTGTTCTTTCCAAGATCTTATCATTAAAGGATGTTGGATTTTGTTGAAGGTTTTTTCAGCATCTAATGAGATGATCATGTGGTTCTTTTCTTTCAGTTTGTTTATATGATGGACATTGATGAATTTCCATATGTTGAATCAGCCCTGCATCTCTAGGATGAAGCCTACTTAGTCATGGTGGATGATTTTTTATGTGCTCTTGGATTCAGTTTTCCAGTATTTTATTGAGTATTTTTATATCAGTGTTCATAAGTGAGATTGGTCTGTAGTTCTCTTTCTTTGTTGCGTCTTTGTGTGGTTTGGGTACCAGGGTTACTATAGTCTCATAAAAGGAGTTTGGCAATGTTACTTTTGTTTCAGTTGTGTGGAACAATTTGAGGAGTATTGGAGTTAACTCTTCTTTGAAATTGTGGTAGCATTCTACACTGAAGTCAACTGGTCCTCGTATTTTTTTGGGGGAACACTTTTAATGACTTCTTTTATTTCTTTAGGGGTTATAGATCTATTTAAATTGTTTATCTGGTCTTGATTTAATTTTGGTATGTGGAACCTATCCAGAAAACTGTACATTTCTTTAAAATTTTTCAATTTTGTGGAGTACAGGTTTTTGAAATATGACAGGGCTTCTTAACAGAGTCATGTGGTTTTTCTGTTTATGCTGAGTCAGGAAACCTCCCTTAAAGGTTCCATGTGAGTCTCTGCTTGTCTCTAGCAAAAGAGAGTCCACCTGAGAAAATGCTGCTACCAAGAATCTGTGCTTCTCTTTATTCTTCTGTTTTTAAAAATCCCTTTTTAAAGTTTTTGTTAAGTGAAAATTTGTGCTCCAAGTCTGGGCACCATTTGTAATGTGTACTCTTCCTGCCAGATGCCTGGGTCCCGCCGCTGTCTTAGCCCCCAAACAACACATGAAACAGTATATTAATCATAATGCTGTTGGTTGTTTCCTTGGTATCTTATTGGCTAGCTCTGACTTAATTATTAACTGATAACTGCTAAACTGAGTATTTCCACCTGGTCTTCTCTTACCAGAGAAAAGGGTCCAGACCTCTTTTTCTGCATCCTACATCATGACTGACTATTCCTCTTTTTCCCAGAATCCTCCTCAACTCCTAGTCCCACCTATCTTGCTTCCCTATTGGCCAACAGTGCTTTATTTAATCAACCAATAAGGCAACATATACACAGGACTTGCCCCATCATGACCCAATGATTCTTTGGATTTCCTCAGTGTCTGTTGTTATACCCCTCTTTATTTCTGATTTTGTTAATTTTGGTATTCTATCTCTGTCTTTCGGTTAGTTTGGATAAGCATTTGTCTATCTTGTTGAATTTCTCAAATATCCAACTCTTCATTTCATTGACTATTTCTACTGTTCTCTTGTATTGCTTTCAGTCCTCAATTTGATTATTTACTGTTGTCTGTTCCTCTGGGGGTGAGTTTGCTTCTTTTTGTTCTAGAGCTTTCAGGTGTCTGTTAATTAGCTATTGTGGGATTTCTCCAACTTCTTTATGTAGGCATTTAATGCTATTAACTTTCCTCTTAGCACTGCTTTCCTAGTATCCCATAAGTTTGGGTATGTTGTACATTCATTTTCATTTAATTAAAGGAAATCTTTAATTTCTTTCTTTATTTCTTCTTTGGCCCATGGGTTATTCATTTGGGCATTATTCATTATGTTGTATTCTTGCTCTATCAAACCATTCCTCTATATTTTCTTCCTGTTGCTTCTATAAAGCATCACCACAAACTTAGTTGCTTATATATACCATTTTATTGATTTACACTTTGGTGGTCAGAAGTCCAAAATGAGATTTACTGGGTTAACAAAGTGTTATCAGGATGGCTTTCCATTCTGAACTGATTTCTTGCCTTTTCCAGCTTCATGCTTAATATCTCACATTTTTCCAATCCCTGCTTTTTACTAACACATATTCTCTAATTTTCCTGAAATGCTGTAATTGAGGATGCAGTTTCTAACACTATGCATTATTTGTCTCTCCCACCAAAATCCATGCAAGTACAACACCACTCCAAAATAGAAGATTGTTTTCTTCCCATGCTGTGAGAATTGCTGACAAAATTCAACCATGATGCAGCACAATGATCTTCTCTGTGTGATTATTTTTCTGTTGTCTTACTTTTCTATTCCCATTTGTAGTCCCAAGATCCAAGACAAGCCATTTACCTGCCCAGGGAAGAATTCATACAGAAGATGACAGAGACTGTGGGTTGGGGCACAAAGGAAGAATTTGGAGAACTCTTTGATAAAGTGGATGTGGCTCGGGATGGCTTCGTTGACTGGAACAAGCTGACTTCATTTATCCTGCTATCGCTTTATGAGAGAGATGAACGAGCAAAGGCAACAGTGGTCCCCCAATGGAAGGACCTTGAGTTCCTCCCAGGAAAACACAAGGATACCATTCAGAAAGTAGTTTTCTTAAAAAGTTCAAGTCGTTATTTAACTATTAGCAAGGAAGGCTTACTAGGAGTGTGGGGAGAGAACTTGAAGTTGCAGGAAGCATTTCCTATCACTTCAGATGCTGCCAAACTCAAACACCTCTGGGTGACAAGTTTGGTTTCTCTGGAAAATGTTAACAAGGTATAAAATCTTTATAAATACATTGCTACTTGTGCTAAAGATGAGAAAATTATTGAAGAGAGCCCCTGGTCAGTACCAAGAGCAACACCAGCAGTGATAGAGAGCCATGTTCATCTTTGTGACTCTCATCTTACCTGGAGGGAATAAAAGCAGAAGTATTTGCTTTCCAAAACCCTTATCTTGTCTTAAGATGACATCTTAGAATGAATGACTCATATCATTTTTATTTCTCAGATGATTAATTGTCAACATTCTTAGGGATGGAAGATGTTGGTGGATGTATAATTGAATATGAAAAAATTATGCCTTTCATGATGAAAGTATTTTGTTTTGGCTTGATTTTTGGCTACAGTCCAATGTTAGAATTTAATACCTTTGTGGTATGCATACTTCCATAATACTATAATGACTCTCAGAGAACTATGTCTCATTTGGAAATTAGATTTGCATGCTTGCTTTGTATATTAATTTCACTAAATCCACCATAAATATTCTACTTGGCTACTCTAGATAGCAGTGTCTTTTACAAGCAAAGAGATTTGTTTCTATGATCTACTGTCCAAAGAAGAATTTCCTTGTCAATACAAACTCCAAGGCCTGAAAGGAACTCCCATCTGCATGGATTATTGGTATGATCCTCTTGATCCCAAAGAATCCGTTCTTTCTTTTGGGGATATAACTGGAAAGGTAAGTGAATGAAGAAAAAACTTCACAATCAGCATTTAATTCTCAAATTTTTTCAAAAAGCAGAAATTAAAATGCTTTGAGTATGAGTTTCTATGTTACAAATTATGAGACTATACCCATTAGACATGAAAGAGATGCGTGATACTACAATTCCACCTTTTAGAGATAAAATACCGACCTTTATATGATCTTCTGGTCTATTTGTAGCCTACTTTTCCAGTTTATAAAGTTACAAACTTTATGTTATAAAATAATTAATATATTAGATCCTAATACTAATAAATGTTGACTATTAAATGACTGAACTAACTTCCCATGAACCTTTCAAGTTAATTGTTTTGATTTGATGTCCATTATCAGACAGCCAAGAGAGTGTTCATTCTTTGTATCACGTAATAAAGGAATTGAGGCATGAAAAGAAATGATAACATTGAACCTGTGACATTGTATACAGCCATTCCTCCTTTCAAATTGCAGTTTAGATGAGTGAAATCATCACTTACTCAATGACATTGGAGTGAGCCAGACACTGGAGAATCTTGAACAATCAATCCTCTTTCATGATTGTGAAAGCTTTCACTCTTAGGGTTTTCAATGGCAGGTCCTTTTTAAAATGAAAAGCTGTGCTTGGAAACCACTTTACCAACTGTGCAGTAGTTCTACTGTTATTGCTTGTATGCTGTGTGTAATACTGAATAAAATCTTGCTAACTCAAGATCTATTCCTTGTTAATCTTAAAGGACGTAGAACCATTTATTCTTCCTGCGTTTGTTTCTGTCTCAACGATTCAAGGTTCAAGTGATAGCTTTCACAGCAGCTGTCATTTCCCTTTTTGAACGGCCTGCTCACGCGTGTGATGATGAAGAAGCAACAATGACCATTGACTGGGCAGACTTGCTCTCTGGATGTCACAAATGCTGCCACATATTACAGCACACATTTCATCGTGGAGACTGGGTCAGGCAAGGTACTGAATTTGAACAGGAGGAAACAGTCATTTTCAACTTCTACATTTATATTCCTTAATGAAAACGGTTCACATACAATGTTTAAATCTAGAAACTGATAATTGGTTCTCTGGAGGTTTTGCCCTAGACTCACTTTATCCACTGAATTCTAGCATGAATTACTTCTTTTCTTTCCTTCTAAAATGTATGCTTCATTCAATTAATTCAGATGAACTATGCACTCAGAAATCTCAAAAGACAGAAAAAAATTGTCATATACTCTATTCAGCTTCAACTCCACTCTGATCCTAACCTGCGCCAGTCATTCTCACATTGCTTAGTAAAAGAATTTAATGAATTCTTCAAAAGTGTTTCTTTTCTTTTTTATATCCTTATGAGAAACACAGTTTGACTATCTTCACAATGTAATTTATTCCTTACCTTACTTTTTTACCTTTTATTTTATTTTACTGATAGTTTGTTTTGTATATTTTAGCCATTACTTTTATTATTTTTATTACTTATACATATATATTTAATTTTTAAAATATAGCTTATAAGAAAGTTCACTGTGCTTGTTAGTCTTAAGTAAACTTGACACACAAATTAGAATTATTTAAAGGAAGGAACCTTGAGACAATGCCTCCAAAAGATCCAGCTATAAGGCATTTTATTCATTAGTGAATGGTGGGGAAAGGCCCAGGCCATCGTGGGTGATAACATCCCTGGGTTGGTGACCCTAAGTTCTGTAAGAAGAGGGTCCTGAGTTCTATAAGAAAGCCATGCAGAGCAAGCCAGTAATCAGCACCCATCCCTGGCCTCTGCATCAGCTCCTATTTCTAGGTTCTTGCCCTATTTGAGTTCCTGTCCGACTTCCTTTTATGATGAACAGCAATATGGAAGTGTAAGCCAAATAAACCCACTACTTCACAACTTACCTTTTGGTCATTGTGCTTTGTCACAGCAGTAGAAACCCTAAGACAGTCACTTAATCTTCATTATTTTTCCTTATTTCTTCCTTCTTTTACTCTTTCTTTAGAGAAAGTTTCATTATACAGCTCAGGCTGGGACTGGACATGTGATTCTTCTTCTGTCTTTTTTTTTTTTTTTTTGGTTTTACGAGACAGGGTTTCTCTGTTTTGGAGGCTGTCGGTCCAGCCTGGCCTCGAACTCACAGAGATCCGCCTGCCTCTGCTTCCCGAGTGCTGGGATTAAAGGCGTGTGCCACCAACGCCCTTCTTCTGTCTTCAACTACAGATAAAGCTCTCTCTGTCTCTCTTGTCTCCGTCTCTTCCTCTCTCCTCCCTTTCTCTTTTCCTCCCTCTTCTCGCCCTCTTCATATAATGTCTGAGTTCTTCTTGTCTAGAGTGCATGAATAGTAGTTATTTGTGATAGGATTATTTTGTAATTCATCATTTATAGAATATTAGTACTTCCTTAAAATCTAATCACTCATGAGTTAATGATTCTCATAAGTACTTTAATTCTTAAAAATATGATTTTATGATTCAAGAGCAAGGTGTATAATATTTGTACAAGTGACAGTATATTACAACTTTTTCAGTATTGATTATTTATTTGGTACATTCCATCCAACCTTGATTTTGGCAGGATATTTTCTGGGGAAAAACAAAACTGGATATTTTCTGATCATCTATTTTGACAGGCACAAAATTATGTGTTAAATTTTTGTGACACCAAAATAAGGATCAATATACTGGAGATGAACTGAAGGAAGTTAGCGGAGCCACTTTTGAATTAAGAGCTCTATGTTTACACATAAACAACAGAATAAACTATAAAAACAAAGCAGTAAGTTCTGTACTCTAGTGTAGTGGGTCTTTGAAGCTGGGTGTATTATCTGGGTTCCATCATTTTACACGGGTAAATAAGACATAGCCTACAGTATGATACTTTTGAAGAGGCTGAATATCAAATAGGAGTTTCTGCAGATGAGTAACGTTCAATTATCTTCTTCCTATTCAAGATCTAATGCAAATTCTACCTCAGTGTTAATAGCACAGAGCCCTGTCCACGAGTCATTTGTCCTTTTGTTTGCAGTATGAGATTGTTCTCCAGGTCAAGGTAAATTTCTTCTTCATCGTATTCTCATCATATCATTCTCATCTGTTGATAAAACATATGGAAGTAAGTCAGAGTGAAGATTGTTTCTATGACATCCTGGGTGAGAATATGCATCCTAAAATCACTGTAAACTAGGAACTAATTACAGAAAAAGAATGTGTATGCGCACACACACAGACACACACGCACGCACACACACACACGTATATATCATATCCATCCATAGCTACTCAGTACTAAGGTGAGGGAATCATGACTGTCTGAGCTGTGAGTGAGTTTAAAGCTGGTCTGGGAACTTTCTATCTCAAAATTAAATTGAAGGATGTTTATATAGCTCAGTGGTAAGGTAGTTATCTAGTTTGTAGAGGCCCTAGTGAATGTGGGTACACCTCTGTCTCTCTCTCTCTCTCTGTCTGTCTCATACACACACACATAATATGCATATAGACAGATAAATGCAGTATCTCATATGTATAAGCACACAATTTATCTCACACACAAGCACACATGTATGCACACAGATGTACACACTTAAGTAATTTAAAATTCTTCCCTTATCCAGTTTCTAGGTTTAAAACACAACTGCCTTTAAACATGGAACTACTTAACTCTTAAGCAATGGAAAGATATCTTTTGAGATGTAGCAAGAGACACTGGCTTAAATATGCCTTTCTTTGCCTGGAGCTCAGTTGTTCTAGTGATGAGAGGGGAGGAAGAGGAAAATGGAAAGGAAGAGAGGAGAAATGGAAGACAGAGCAAGCTGTGGTTCCCTGAGGTTTGCAGCAGTCATGGACAATACTCCCTGACTCTCAAGACATGCGCTGCCCAGGGCAGTCAAGAGACGGCTGCTTGGATTTGATATCCATTGCACTGCAGCAGCATAGATCAATATTCTGACAATTCCTCAGGAGTATATTTGGCCATTGTCTTCTCAGTGTAAGAAAATATACAAGTGAAGAAGGGAGCACAACCATGGAAATACATTTTTAGTAAAATCAAGGGTAAAATATCTGTTATATTGAAATGTCATAGAGGAAACTCAGTTTTAGTTGTAAGTGTGTTAGCATATGCTTTAAACAGAAGTTAAGAGGGGATCTTATTAAAATTTCAAAGGAGAAAATATTTTAATCTTGTCTGAGTGGTTCTATGTCATAGTTGAATAGGAAAATAATTACATTCTGAAATGACTCTAAAATGCATGGGCAGTAGCAGAGAAACAGTTTTGAATCTCAAGAGAATTTCCTTTTTAGGAATGGTCTTCTATAGAGAATGTTTCAGAACTTACTGTCTGAATGTGTAGCTTTTAAAGGAACATGAGCCAGGTGTGGTGATGCATGTCTTTAATTCTAGAATTCAATTTCTGAGGAAAGATAGTAAGTCTGAGGTTAGCCTGGGATACACAGACTGTTCAAAATTATCCTGAGCCATAGAGCATGATCTTGTTTCAGACAAGCAAGCAAATAAACAGACAAGTAGCTTGGCGGTCACTGGTAGTACTTGCCTAGAAGGTGCAAACTGGAAAAAACATTGCTAAGACAAAAAACACGGGCTTTAGTCACATCAGAATGTATTCTTCCACTTTGGGTCACGCACAGGAGATGGCAACCAGCTTGCAGTGATAACAAAGTCATAATTGTTGCAGTAATTAATAGAGCTGGTGCCAGAAAATTCAAACGCAGACACCAGGTTGTGTTTCCGTAGGGAGTCTTCATAATTGACAGGGATAAAGCTGGCAAGGGAAGCGGGGTCTAGAGACTTGGGCCTGTGTTGCTCTGCTTCCCAGAATCGAAAAGATCCCTTCCAGGTAGAGGACTTTGCCTCACTGAGTAGCTAGACCATGCTGTTCTTGCCAGGAGTCATGCTGGGTTTAAGGCAGTAGAAATTAGGTGAGAGCTGGTGACCAGGGTTTGAAGGAAGCACTCCCTTCTCTCATGCTTGTGTTATATGACATTCTGGAAGTTACAGCAGTAATTACAGCCCCATTTTAAAAGAAATTCAGCAGTTTAGATTTTCATTTTAAAAACACGTTTTGACTTGTAATGATAATGACCAGGTAGACATTTGTTTCTTATTATTTCCTTTTTGACACGATTGTTGCTTGGAGTATATAGCCCTGTGGGTAGAGGGGAAATGCTGAGGGAATGGGACTCCAAGGTATGACAAGAAAATGAAAATAACAATAACGCCTTTCGTAGGGAAAACATTTAAAACTGTCCGAATAAGGTGATGTGTTTACTCTCATGACTCAGAATGAAAGCCTATAAGAATTGTGGGTTATAATGGCAGCAGATGTGGTGCAGGATGATTTGGGGTATGGGGAGGTTGACCCCAGGTCTCTGGGGCTTCTGTGCGCAGGGATGGGGGCCCTACAAAATGCCCTGGGCAATTAGGGCTTGGAGGTTAGAGTCCTCTAGTGTGTGTCCCAGGCACTCACCTCTCCCTGTAGGGGCAGGGCCAGACCATGTTGGGGAAATAGAAACAGCTGACCTGAGCAAGAAGGAGCCTACTGACTCTAGACCAATAGCTAGGGAACATGCAGTGCATAACACTTAAGTAGGCCCCCTGAATGTGGGTGTCAGTTGGGGGCCTTGGACAGTCTATGGGGCCTCTGGCAGTGGAACCAGTATTTATTCCTAGTGCACAAGCTGACTCCTTGGAGCCCATTCCCTATGGAGGGATACTTTTCTCAGCCTGCATACAGGGGGGAAGGCCTAGGTCCTGCCCCAGAGGATGTGATGAGACAGACTTTGATGACTCCCCATGGAGGCCTTATCCTCCCTGAGGAATGGATGGGGGTGAGGATGGGGTGAGATGAGGAGACGGTGTAGGAAGTGGCTGGATGGGAGTGAGAGGGACTGGCGACTGGTATGTAAAATAGGATTGCTTTAAAAATAAGTATAAAAAAGAATTGCTGGTTATAAATGACCCAGGCTTCCATACCAATTCAGGGTCTGTTCCAAATGTAGAGTGGTGGGTTCTGTGTTATTTTAGGAGCATTCAATAGCACTTCCTCACTTTGGGATAGAAGTTTTTATTTTCAAGTCATTTTCTCATATTAAATAGTTGCTACTTTGCAGGATCATTTTGACAGTACACATAGGGACAAGGATCAATGGCAGGTCCCTTTAATAACTTTTTATTGTGTCTTTTATTTTTATTTATATGTTTTTAATTGAAATAGAATTACTTCACTTATTATTTTCTTTTCTGAAGCCCTTCCCAGCTATCTTTTCTGAATTTCCCCATTCCTCCCTACTCAAATTGTACACACACACACACACACACACACACACACACACACACACACACAGAGAGAGAGAGAGAGAGAGAGAGAGAGAGAGACCCTAATATCAACAAAAAGGAGGGTTTACTGTCCTTTAAAATCCCTGTGTAGCAAGAAAGTGTGGAAGTGTTGAGAGTTACTATCTTACTGGACCAATAAATAAATACAATAAAAGGCCAAATTTTGTCTTTTACTCTTAACATTCTACATAAAATTATGTTAAAAATGCTTCTTCTTCTAATTTTCAAACTCACCAGAAGTGTTAAAAACAAATGATTAATTTGTGCAGCACATCTCATTCCATAGCTTGATGTTCTGGAGAGGTGTTTTTTTAATTTTATTTTTATCATCGTGTGTTATTTCCTTACTATAATTAAAGAAGTGAGGGAAACCCTTTTTTTTTCAGGTAATTTTCTTTAAATGGCTCTATGGCTGTTCTCATCTTTTACTCGTGTTTCTCGGGAGCTCTGTTGTTCTGTTGTTCTACAATTTAATGAAAAACAAGTTATATCTTGATTGGCTGTGAGCTGTGAATCCTTGACACTCCAGTATGTGACCTAGCAGATCCATCCATCAATGTCATCCTTTAGGCCTCCTTCTCTCCCTTCCTCCTTTCTTTCCTGCCCCCCCTCCTTTTCTCCATGGTCTCTCTTTTAAGAAAAAAAAACGGTGGTGGATGACGGTAAAGGATGGAGAGATTCAGGAAGATAAAAGACCCTGGTTCTCAGGGATGAAGTGGCAACATCCAGGAGTCAGGAAAGGGAAGACTGAAGCTCGCATGGGGATTTGCTTTGAGAGTGAGGGCACAGGGGACGGAAATTTAGCTAGTGGATTATTTTTCCCAGATATGATCCGGGCATACATGCAGGAAAGTGGCTGAGTGAAAGGGAGAGCACAATAGAAGGGGAAAGGAGACCTCGCTGTCAGTTCATTCTTGTCTCCATTTGTAATTAGCCACGGGACCCGGGGGCAAATTGAGTTTCGAAATGTCTGTCTCCTCATTAGCAAACTTCAAATAACTTACACAATGAAGATTATGATAGACAGGGAGCTCCAGGCAGGCTGCCTAGTATGTGAGAAGGGTTCAGCAAATTATCCCCATCATTCTAAAAAATAATCCATAAGGCAAGGAAAATAAATAATGCATGAGATGGAACCAGACTGGAAGCACTGACACCCCCCTTTTTTCCAGTAGAATCTTCTCTGTTTCATGACATTTCATAGTGACTTATCCTGTGCAGAGTGTGCGTCCTTTTCTGAAATTCCCTTTTGCATTTTGACTTCCTTTTGTCTTAAAGAAACCGTGTTGAGTTCAACATTAGAATCTGGTTAAATTAGGTTGCATTAAAGAAGTAAAAACTAAAATGTAGAATCTATTTTGTGCTTTGATAGATAACATTAATTAGTAAAAGAAATGCTATAAATAACCCAAGGGATGCCAGGCACCATGATACACACTTGTAATCCCAGATCTTGGTAGTCTCAGATACAAAGGGGGTGAGTTTGAGTCCAGACTAGTCATATAGTGAGTTCTAGGACAACCTGGGGTACATATCAAAATCCCTTTCCAAAAAACAAAGCGAAGAGTCACACAAGAAAGCAAGAGGAGAGTTCTTTTCTAATCCAATATTACTCTGTGCTCAGAGGCTTATCACCTGAGTTCCTCAGGTCTATCTTGCAGGAATTATGGTGGGAGGTTCTTAAAACCCTGGTATCTTTCACACACAAAAAAAAACCATTGTGTCTCTGCACATCTTTCTGATGGAGTCTATGGCTTTCATGAGATTTTAAATAAATATTTGGTCTCTGAATCTTAAAAAGTGGTGATTAGTCCTCTAGAGCGTAAAGTGATGTCTATGTTGTACAGAATTCTTTCCATCAGCTGCTCAAGTAGATGATAAAGGGTGTCAGATCCTATGACTCTGGAGTCTTTGTGACATGGATAATGGGAACTAAACTCAGGTTGTCTGCAAGAGCAGTGGGCACATTTAACTGATGAACCCTACCTCAGTGTTCTTTTGATCTTAATGGTCCTTAAATGTTCTTTTGCGAATAATACATAAGTGTTGACACACACAAGAAGTTCCTCATTTTATTTTTGCTCCTTTAATAAAACTGAAGTGTTTTATCCTACCTCTCATCAATAGAATACTGTCATCAACAGAATGATTTTGAAATGTTTTCAAAACATACTGGATCATACATGATGTCTGCTTTTAACCTGTCCCTACACCATTCCGAGTAGCACTTTACTATGGAACAGTAGATTGCCTAATTATTTGATTTACACATCTTCTTTTCCAAGCTCAGAGTCCCATGTCTAGGTACAGAGTGAATCTAGTCCTTCAGCATCTTCCCCACACTGCAGGGTTAGTGAATGCCCTGTAATTCTGAAGACAGGATGGTGTCCTTTGAGAATGGATGCCTGCAGGTGGCACACTAAATAGTGTCCATCTCATTAAATGTAAATTGGTCATGTGAGATATTTGCTCGCTAGGAAGACACATTAGTAAAGCCATTTTTGTGTCACTATCAGCTCTTGAGTGGGTAAATTCTAGCTGCTTTCAGAACTAATGAACTCAATAGAATAGGTTAGATATAAAAGTCTGTCCAACTATGCTTCAGCTACCTTGTCTTTAGCAATCATTTGGAAATTTGTTTATGCATATTTATGTAAGCACATATTCTGGATATCTTAGAAATAATAGATACTTATTTTTATAGTTCAGAAGGAGGTAATGTTCTGAGATTATGCTGTTGGTAGACATGGTCTCTACAGAAGGACACTTCTTGAATTATAGATACCTTGTTTTAGCTGTGTCCTCTCATAATGAAAGGGACAAGCTCCCTATGTCTTTTATATGAGGGCACTAATCCCAGTCCTGCGGTTATAATTCCCTAATCACCACCAAGGGGAGCCCTTCCTATTACTACCTTGAAAAGTAAGATTCAATGTATCAATTTGAGAGGCTAAAAATACTTAACCATAGCAGTAGCTGCTAAGGATTTTGTAGACTGAACTTTTACTCTTTCGAAAACAACTATTTTCACATTCATTTCTTTGTGTATGACTCTGTGAGTGAATACGTATGGTCTGTGAGTGCACTGTGGCATGAATGTGGTATCATGTGGGTTCTGGCTATTGGATTCAGGTCATCAGGTATAGAGGCAAGCACCTTGACCTGGATTTAGTCATTTTGCTGGCCCTCATGCTCTTTTCAGTTTAGTGATAGAGTTAAGTATTCTGTTTCAAGTACAATCAGTACTATGATGCTGTCAGCTTACTTGAAGTGAGCAACAGAATGAAAACTCCTACAGTGACAGATGATAAAGATGCCTGTGCCACAGATTAAAAAATAAATATATATATATAATCCATAGGAAAACAGGCAGTGTAAGTATGCACACATTTGCTACAAGTCCATAGAAGACACATTTGTGCCTGCACGTGGATGTTTTAAAGAAGAAACCTAGGTTTGGGGAAGCAGACCCTTTTATACAGGCACAGGACAGGCGTCTTCTTTCACTCCAAAGAAAACTCCTTTTCTTGTTCTGGGTAACAGGCATGCCTGCCGTTTGCTTCAAAGGGAGCCACTATCTCTGCATCCTCAGGCTGTTTGCTCTGCACGTGTCTTTGAAAAGATAATCTTGAATAATGGGCACCCAGTGCCCAACTCCCTTAGATGTATGGAAATGTTCCCGATCCCCTGAGAACTGTCCTTCAAGTCTGCCTCACTTGACTGTACTTAATAAGCAGCAGGCAGAAAAAAATTAAAAGCGTTTCTGTTTAAGTAACTTTCCTTACTCTATGTGAGTGACAAAATCCTTTGTGTCAGTCAGGAATTTTATCTTGATATTAAGTCAGAATCTTTCAATTTTGGATACAAGTAAATATTTTCAGAGCAAAAAGCAAGAGAGGGTCTCTGTGTGAGCAGCAGGTATCATGTTCCATGATGATCAAGTTCCTTAATTGGGAGCTTGTGATTCTGACAAAAATGAAAATGCATCATGATACATGTTGACTGGGCCGTTATTGCACAGGAAGTAGGATGTTGCTTCATAAGGTCTGACACAGGGTCAGCCATCTTGATTTGCATCTTTGCATCTCTTGGGAATCATAACAGTTCTGAATCCTTGCCCATCTACCCTTAAGCATCCTAGGTTGGTCAAGATTTAGATTAACCATCGTTTGAGAGCAATGTGTGCTCCTTCTTGTTTGCCTGCCTCAGGGCCAGGAGGAAGAGTGAAAACAGAGTCATCACACTCTGACGTCAACTTTTGCCATTATATATTTAAGTATTTATATTTTGCTGATATGAAAAGACAGTTTTGAGATTACTTTCTTATTTCTTTTTTCAGTTACTTACAATGCCTCTTTAGATGCTTTCATTTCCAGTACAACCAGCAGTACAAATACTGTGGTGCTGGCATGGAGAGAGAAGTCAAAAAAACTCCTTAAAATGACATCTTTCAACATTGCCCAGGGCATTCATGCTTTTGATTACCACTCTCGGCTCAATTTAATTGGTATGTAAAATAAATCATGATAACTATGAGGGCCTCATAAATTGTCTAGGGTGCATATTTGTATGCAGGGAAGTACTGTACCTTGTTGCTTTATTGCCAGGGAGACCAACTTGAGCAGCTCACATTTTATTGCCTTAGAATGTTTGATAATGGTGCATATGATGTGCAGTGAGTTTGAATTACACTGGGGTGAAATATGAGAAAGCACCCTGAAGCTTTAATGAGTCTTTTTATTAGAATTGGTAGGGGTGGAAGATGACATAGGGAAAGAAGGCAGTTTGCACAGCATCTGCTAGGCTGTAATCTTGCTAACACCGTTCAATGCTGTCCCAGAAAAAATCCATCACTTTCAGTACTCACACACCTGTGAGCACATACGTGTGTACACACCAGTATGACTGCAAGCCCTAGATGCTTTTCAGAATACAATCTCTAACGATTTTTTGTGAATTTGTAGGTTATCATAGCTTTAACTTACTAAGGAAGTATTTTTTATGCAAAAGGTATAAGAAATATCAACTTTTTCAGGTGTTAATCTTTTAAATGAAATACCCAGAAACCCTGAAATTTGATGGTTTGATATATGGATATGTAAGTTCAAGCATTATAAAACTGACATGTAGAACTGTTATTAAAAATTAATAAAGTAGTTATAGAGTCCACTTATGGCCTATGGTATGAGTAGTACAAATCCACATTCAGTAGTTAGCACTGGCAAGAAAAATGCTGGTGTTCGTTAAGGAAACAGACACTTCAAACAACCAATAATAGCTGATATAAAATATTTTAGCATAGGCTGGTGAGATGCAATGGCTTCCAAGATTACTCCAGATATATCAGAGAAGGCTGGAGGGGCTGATGAATTAATTTGTCAGGGACTAAAGTATCACCCATTTAACTCACTGGTTGACTAGTTATTCAGCTCCTTTGCACTGATCTCTTTGGTACTTGTACCAGTGCAGGAAAACATAGTAAGTACAGGAGTATAATCAGTTCAATACCTAGAAACAACCAGAGTTAAATTGCACTCCACATACTCCTGTAGTATCTCACTTGGTCTTGAGATGGTCCCTGGATATAAAGGAGCCATCATCGAAAATACCTGATCCCACAATAAACCTGGATAGAAGTATGGGTGATGCTTTGTGACTTCTGCATGCTTGACTATTTAAACAGTGGTTAAAATAATATGTTCCTAATACTTCTATTTATTGACTTGTGACCTGTGAATATTTAGTTCATTTTTTGACACTCCCCCCAAAAAAACCCTATCATTCTGTCGAAATTTCTTGTGTTCCAGAAATAGGGAATTTTGGGACTAGGAGGAGAAAATGTATTCCCTCCCAGGCAGGATGTGGGTAGATTGCTAAATGAGACAGTCTTTTCCCCTATGCAAACTCCCGCCTCAAGGTCAACGACTGTCAAACCATAGGTCATGATATCAAGCACATCACATGTGTACGTAAGGATTCATAATAGCAGCAAAGTTAATGTTAGGAAGTAGCAATGGAAAAATTTTATGGTTGGGGGCTCACTATAACATGAGGAACTGTGTTAAAGGGTCCAGCATTAGGAAAGTGGAGGACCACTGCTCAAATCACACCCTCCATTCAGCTGAACTCACAATTTAGTTGGGCATTGCCAAGATTTTTCTTCCTTCAAGACAGGGTGCATTAATGTTCATATGTGCAAAATGAATTTTAAAAGATAATTAAAACATTTTGTTTTCTTTTGTATTCTGATTAGCAACGGCTGGCATCAACAATAAAGTCTGCCTTTGGAATCCCTATGTTGTCTCTAAACCAGTTGGTGTTCTATGGGGTCATTCAGCCAGTGTCATAGCAGTCCAGTTCTTTGCTGAAAGAAAACAACTCTTCAGCTTTTCGAGAGATAAAGTAAGTAACTCTACACATCTAAAATTTCCATTTCCATTCCCAGTTCCCAAGGAAATCTCCACTAGGACCTGAGTTTCCCTGAAAGACATCTGTCATTCATTCAAACTGGGTAACTATAAAGTCTTGGGGGAAAACCTGCATTTGGAACAAGTATTGCTCAATGGTTACTTCAATAAAATTCTGGGCAGCTGGACAAAAAGCATTTCATTAAATTTTTGTTCAAATCATGTATTCATGTGTGTTTTATTCTTTTTATTTGACACTCCATGTCATATCTTAAGCACATCCAAAGTTTACATTAATTGTACATGGAAAAGAATGGATGTGGGGATAAGAAAATACTGTTTGGATAAAATAGTTAAATGGCACAGTTGACTATTATCACTTTAGTATTAAAGATACTCATTATAAATTTAAGTTAGTTGGAAATATCATATATATGATAAATTTCAAGTAAATGTCCATTTGATGATCCTAATGGGATTCTTTTGTCTGAATTTGGAGATAATGGGGATCTGACTGAGAGCCTCACATGTGCTAAACACAGGTTCTAGCATTGAGTTACATCCTCAGTCCTTGATGGGGCATTTTCAATACTGTTGAAAATGGCCCATGAATCATGTAGCCTACAGTGAATTTTGAGTACACTATGGTATCCTTTTAAGCAAATGTCCTAATCTCCAAAGACTTTGCCTTTTATGTATTGTATAACTTCCATTTTACATAATTCTAAACTTCAAGGATTCATTCGACGTGTGATAAATTCTTGGCTGGCTGGATGGTTAAGGGAACTTACTGCTCTTGCAGAGGACATAGGTTCTTGTCCTTGCATCCTCATGGTTGGGTCCACAACCACCCATAACCGCAGCTTCAGAGGAGTAACACCCTCTTCTGACCTCTGCGGGTACCAGACCCACATGCGGTGAAGGTGCCTATATACAGGCAAGCTCACACGCACACACCCATCCACCCGCCTCACACTCACCCCACCACACACGGTGATAGATTTCAAGATACTTCATGAGGAGAAGAGTGGATAGTAAGTGGAAATAGCCTCTGAGATTCAGAGAAAGTTTGCTCTGTATTAGAGGAATGTATCTGTGTTATAGGTGAAACCATGAAACTTAGAAATTCATCTTCAACTCCTTAGCCACCTCCCAGTCTTTCTAATTCTTGTAAGCTACTTTTCTTCTTGCCTATCATAGGAGTTCCCTTTCCCCATAAATGTTACCACACATCTGCCAATCCTTGTTTCGTCTATCATCAAACTCTGTTTATCATCTGGCCTCTTCAACTTAGCTGCCATTGTTCAAATTTATCTTTGTTGGGTGTGGTAGTACAACCTTTAAACCAACAGCACTTGGAGGAAGTAAGGCAGGTGAATCTCTATTCATTCAAGGTCAGTCTTGTCTTGCAGAGTGAACTCTAGGCAATCCAGGGACACATAATGAGACACTGTGTGAAAACAAATCAAACCAAGTCAGAACAGAGCAAAACAAAACAACAAAGAAACCCTCACCTCTTTTCCGCTCAATATATGTTTTTATTTAAATTAGAAACACGAATGCTTCACATGTCAATCCCAGCTCCCTGTCCCACCCCTCGTCCCTTGTCCCTCCACCAGCAACCCCCCCACATTCCCCACCCCATCCCCACATCATTCTCCAGGGAGGGTGAGGCCCTCCTTGGGGGATCTCCAAAATCTGCCATTTCATCCAGGGCAGGACCTAGTCCTTCCGCATGTGTCCAGGCTGAGAGAGCATCCCTCTATTTGGAATGGGCTCCCAAAGATCATTCATATACCATGGTAAACACTGATCTACTACTCAAGGCCCCAGTGATTTCTGTGGCCTCCTCACTGGCACTACATTCATGGAGTCTGGATCAGTCCCCTGTTGGCCTCTCAGCCATCAGTCTGGGATTCAAGAGCTCCCCCTTATCCGGTCAGCTGTCTTTGTGGGTTTCACCATCATTGTCTTGACCACTTTGCTCATCATTCCTCCATCTCTGTCATTAGGTTCCAGGAGTTCAGTTCAGTGTTTAGCTGTGGGTATCCGTCTCTGCTCCCATCAGTCACTGGATGAAAGTTCTAGGATGGCATATAGGGTAGTCACCAACCTTATCATCAAGGAGGGGCCATTAATGTAGTCTCTCCATTATTGCTTAGTTTGCCAGTTGGTGTTATCCTTGTAGATCTCAGGAGATCTCACTAGTGTCAGATTTCTCCTCAAGCCTATAATGACTCAGTCTATTATGGTATCTCTCATCCTGCTCTCCTCTATTCTTACCTTGACTCAAACTAAATAGAGAATTCTCAATAGAGGAGTATAAAATGGCTGAGAGACACTTGAGAAAATTCTCAACATCATTAGCCATTAGGGGAATGCAAATCAAAGCAACTCTTACTCCTGTCAGAATGGCTAAAATCAAATACACCAATGACAGTTTGTCCTGGAGAGGATGTGGAGAAAGGGGAACATTCCTCTACTGCTGGTGGGAGTGCCAACTCATACAGCCACTATGGAAATCAGTATGGAGATTCCAAAGGAAAATGGGACTTAGTCTACCACAAGACCCAGCAATTCTACTCTTAGGCATATATCCAAAGGATGCCCATTCACTCAACAAGGACGTCTGTTCCACTATGTTCATAGCAGCATTATTTGTAATAGCCAGAACCTGGAAGCAACCTAGATGCCCCTCAACTGAAGTGTGGATAGAGAAAATGTGGTACATTTACACAATGGAGTACTACTCAGCAGAAAAAAAAACAATGGAATCTTGAAATTTGCAGACAAATGGATGTCACTAGAGGAAACCATCCTGAGTGAGGTAACCCAGACACAAAAAGACAAACATGGTATGTACTCACTCATACATGGATTTTCGATATGGATCAGGGGAATGTCAGCCTACAATCCCAGTGCCAGTGAGTCTGGGAAACAGGGAGATGCATGATACCCCACAGAAGGTGGAAGGAGGCAAGATCTCCTGAGCAGATTGGGAATATCAGGGGAGGGGAGAGGGAACCAGGAAAAAAGAGAGGGGGATAAGAGGAGGGGAGAAGAAGTCATGGGGGAGCATGAAGGTTGGGTCAAGGTTAGAAACCCTCATCTTTTTTCCCATATTTCTTATTTAACTTTTTATGCATGTCACTTTCAGTTCCCTCTCCCTTCCCTCCTCCCTCACCCCCCCAATCCTCGCAAATCCTCACCCCCACTCCATTCCTCCTCCACTCCCCAGGGAGAGCAAGGGCCTCTCCATGATGAAACCCTCATCTTTTAAAACTCTTCAAAACACTACAAACATTGCTTACCATGTCTTCTAAGTGCTTTTCAAGAAAAGAAACAAGTTATCGAATGAAAATCCTTCAGTCTCTCATTTCTAAACTCCATTTGATTACCTCAAATTCTTAGCCTGTCACACACAGCCCTCCTCTGATTGGCCAGCCTACTTCACTTTTTTCTTCCCACTTACTAATTTCATACTCAGGCAGTATTAACTCTTGGCCCTTAACACCATACAGTTTCCTGGCACAGCAATTTCACATTCTCTGGAAATTTCCTCTCCTCTGTTACAATCCGATGGCTCAGCCTTCAGATCTATTGAAGTTTCTCCTGTAGAAGTGGGTGTTTCCTTCTGTGTACTTCAAATGTCCTTCATTAGAACACTGTCATCATTAATTGGCTTCCTTAAGATGTTAGTATTTTTAATCTTCTATTCTCAGTATCTTCCAAAACCACTGACATATTGTAGGGTTCATCCTGTGACTACATGTTTTTAGTTCCAAATGAAAAACTATTGCTTGGACACAACGTAGCAGAGAAATTCAGGGTGAGACCTCTTTGGATGCCCTACTGGGTTTAGTTGTCTTACTTTTTGGGATCTTTGAACACTTTGTTTTGATTTCAATTATTGAACAATCAGTACTACGTTTATGTATCTTTAAATTTTGACATGAAAGTAATAGTTATTTGTTTTTGATTTTAGCCATTCTGACAAGAGTGAGATGCTATCTCAGAGTTGTTTTGATTTGCATTTCCCTGATGGTTAAGGATGTGGAGCACTTTCTCAAGTGTCTCTTAGCCATTTTAGACTCCTCTACTGAAAATTCTCTATTTAGTTCTGTAGACAACTTTTTAATTGGATCCTTTGGTGTTTTGGAGACTTGCTTCTTGAGTTCTTCATAAATTTTGGAGATCAGCCCTCTGTCAGATGTGGGGTTAGTGAATATCTTTTCCCATTCTGTGGGCCGCCTTTTTGTCTTGTTGACTGTGTCCTTTGCCTTGCAGAAGCTTCTCAGTTAGGACTTGAGAGATGACTCAGCTGTTAAAGGCTATGCTCACAACCAAAAATATAAGAGATCTAGCACATATTAATATCTTAAACACATGGTAAAAAATAAGTGTGGCTCCTAAGTCACTGTTAGTAGTTTTGAAGTTAGGGACTGTATCTTTCTTGGATTGTGCTGTATTTGTGCAAAGTCCTCAATAAATTATAGTTAAGTGAATAAATCTGAACCAGACAAAAATAAAACAATTATCAGATATTTCATCATCATGAAGCTCCATGAGAGCTTTTATAACCTTAAAGGCAAGTGCAACATGTATTTTGAAATGGGATTGATCGCATACAGTTGTGATCAATAATAAAACTGCCTGGCCTTTTCCCAAAGCAGTTTTGTCCTTCAGTTTTCACTTTGGTCTCTAAACTGTTGCATCATTATGAAGCTTGTCATGCTGCCACTCACATTGGTTGTAATGCATTTTACTTTGATGAATGTGTGACAGTCTCACTCCTTATGTCTACAGCAAACAGCAAGGCTTTCTCCTACTGGGCTAAGCCTCTGTTTTATTGCTGCAAAATTCTTCTGGATATTTTATATGACTGTAGTGAAATTAGAACTCCAGGGAAAATGAAACATCATATTGTTTTCTAACAGTCTTTGACTGGATTGTGCTAGCATCAATCAATTCCTAAATTAGAGGATTTGCGGATCA